ATCTTTCGGGTCCTAGCATACATGCTTACCTCACATCCGTCCGTAAACTTTAGGTGCGGGCGCCAGTGCTCCCCATGACAGGGATCCTGACTTTCACTTTCATTACGCGTCCGGGTTTTCCACCCAAACACTCGCAGGTATGTTAGACTCCTTGGTCCGTGTTTCAAGACGGGTCGATTAAAGCCATTATGCCAGCATCCTAAGCACGAACGTGGTCGAAACCCGGCCTTGCGGCGTGCTGAATTCCTCAGTCCCAACCGATGTATACGACCGGGGAGATACCGGAGGACACCTTTGTCCCGGTGGCCCAGTCTCGATCTGGAGAGCTCCAGATCCACAACGTCACCATGGGGTGCACGTACAAAACGGGCATCTCATATGATGTTCAGGTGAGTATTTCATTTTTATTTTTGATTGAACTTAATTGATGACTAAGCAAGGCAGGACCATGGAACGACCGCCCCAACTCCGTCCGGGTCCCCCTCCACATCACCTATGGAGGGGGCCGAGAAGGAGACTCCCCCTGGAACAACAGTGGCTGGGGCTGGGGAGCCCCCCCAGCCAATGGGTGGGGTCCCTCCGACTCGACCCTTGCCAGGGGACCCTCTACCACGGGTTCCGCCGAGGACGGCCCCTTTACGCCGCCACGAGACCACTCTCCCCCCATCGTCCCCACCCCCGACTCGCCCGTCTTCACCCCACCCCCCTCCCAAGACCCCGGATCACAGGAAGACTGATCCGGCTCCCACCCCTCGTGCCCCTCGTAAACCTCAGGCGGTATACCGGCGTTACGCTCCATATCCGTCGGCTGAAGAGTCTCGACCCGTTGTCCTGATGGCCAAGTATGACAGGATTGGGTGGAAGATGACCGCCAGGGTTACAGAGGAGGATCTGGAGGCGTTTTTAAAGTGGTGGAATGCTCGTGCCGTTGCTGCAGACAATGCAGCAAATAATTAATTAATTATAAATTGTTTTTTTTTTTTATATAAATAAAAATAAATTTATTTATTTGTGTTTATTTACATTTTGCTGAGTTTAAAATTGGCAAGCAAAAGGTATAAATAGCCCGAGCATTGAGGTTAGGGTTTAATCCTTTTATGTCAAACTCTCCCCCTCCCTCATACAACACTCACATAAGATGGTTCGTCGCTTGTATAGATCCTCGCGACCAAAATTGGGATACAGTGTCCGTAGATTGGGTATCGTTCGGGGACGGACCCGACGTTTGTTACGGACAAAGAGAACGAGAATATCAAGGTACCGCCGAACCCGGAAGTCAGGTGTTCGTCGTGGTACCTTACGTCGCAAGACAGGCATCAAGAGTGGCCGAACACGGAACAGTCGGCATTCACACCGCTATAGTCCCCGCCTTAACGAAAGTCGGGGCATTACAGCCACGTGCGTTGATGGGACATACCATCAATCGGCCATCGAATTCCCGTCAGCAATGGGGTACCCTGCCAAGAAAGGGGACTTCATCATGTTCTGGAACACGAGTCTCACGCAGCTTCGTGTTGCCGACCCTACTGTCATTGACCCTCAGTGGCATGCTGATGGGTTACGTACAAGTCCTCTCTGCTTGGCCACTGGCGCATCAATTACGTTGGATATCTCAATTCTCCCACGTACTTGTTGGGCTTTACGCCTTCTTATTTTCACTTCTAATCATAATCTGCCTACTGGGACGAATGATGATATGGTTTTGGACAACCCGATCGACACATCAGCGGCACAGGCATGGGATCAATTAGGAAATTTCTATTGGAAAACCAATGCCTATCCCTATATTCCTGGAGTGATCTCGCCGCCTTTCGCTCCATTTAGAAAGGCGCGTGCATTGCTTCTTGACACTGCCCAAGATCTGTATCGCACGGGAACGCCGTCAGTTGATCGTGTGTGTATTCTTTCGGATCGGGTACACTTGATTCGAAATGACTCGACCAAGATCAAACATCATCATATCAATCAATTTGTCAAACTCAAGCATTATCTTTCTTATGAATCCATGGTGACCAACGGGCAGCAGTCATTGCGCCCGCAAGAAGCATCTCGTCCGATCAATGTTCTCATCATTGCTCATCCAAAGGACAGTGATGGCATGATCAAGGGTCCACCACCGCCTGTCACTGGTTTGGATGACTTGGAGACGGATCCGCGTCCGGAGTTGGAGATGGGTGATGAACCTGTTGACAAGGACTATACCCTTGATCCGACGATGATGCAATTAGAAGCCGAGATGTTGTCAGTCGACACAGCCTTGGAGAATGTAGAACGGATGATCCGTCTTCTAGAACCTTCCAGGCCGGTCGATGATGTTGCAGAAGGCTCATCACAGCCTCGTCAGACTCGGGCAAAAGAGGCTGTGCGGGAAAGGAATGAAAGGGAATTGACGGAGTTAGTCGGTCGAAGAACACGATTACAAATCCAGCGGGAGTCTATTCGGGAGCGTATCCGTGTGTATACCCGTCGGACGTATAAGCCGACCCTTGATGTCAACAAAGGAAAAACCGCGGATATACTCAGAGCACGGAATGATGCGCTTCCTGTCGCAGTGGATCAACATGGATCTAGATTGCCGAGTCGTGTGAATAGTGAGCCTACCCTTCCTGGGCAGCGAAGATTTTCACAGGCTCCGCGTGAGAGTACTCCTTTTGATCCCGGAAAATTTGATAGTGATGACGAAGCTGAAGGGGATGATGAAAAGACCCCTCAGCAGAAGTATGACGACTACATGACAAAGGTGGGAGAAGTTAAGCCGAATATGCCGTTCGGCTTCTCGGCAAAGGTGTCTACACGCCTGTGGTTTTACAACATTCGACGCGCGATCGGATTAGTATATAGATAAAAATCTGTAGTGATAATTATTCTGAGTTATTAATTTGTATTAGTATGAGACCTGTCTAAAAAAAGAAAAATGAGAAGAAGAAATGTAAAACATGAGACTGAGTTGAACTCGTTAGTATAACATAACCCATTACAGGATAGACATATACACGTCAGTCAACCCGCCCCCTGGGGGGCTACGGGGGGATAAAAAAAAAACTTACCGCATCCGGAGACCTCACTAAGCCATTCAATCGGTAGTAGCGACGGGCGGTGTGTACAAAGGGCAGGGACGTAATCAACGCGAGCTGATGACTCACGCTTACTAGGTATTCCTCGCTGAAGAGCAATAATTTGCATGCTCTATCCC